AAAATAAAAAAACACATTATATAAGACCTAAATAAAGAGGTATACATGTTCAAGAATAATAAGATGTAAATGTTAGTTTTTCTGTATATTCAATAAATTCCAATAAAAATTCCACAAGATTTTCAAGGACCTTAACAAGCAGAAGGCCCAAGAATAGCCAAGACAGTCCTGAAAAAGAAAGGGGGAAGGAGAATCACCCTACCAAAATGTAAAAACTTGTTATAGTTGTGGTAATTGAGACAGTGTGGTATACACGCAGGAATAAACAATAGCCTAATGAAAGAAGCTACATATGCATGAACATTCGAAGAGTGAAGGAGGCATAGCAATAAATAGTACAGGGATAACTGGTTACCATTTGGGAAAAAAAGTGCATCCCTACCTCAAGCCATATCAAATAATCAGTTAGTCATAATTCAAAGACTTAAATGTGAAATGTTTTAACTTTTAGAAGAAAATATGGGAGAATATATTTTTGGCTTTAGTGTAGAGGAGGTTTTCTTTAAAAATAGGAAGAATGCACTAAACATAAAAATAAATATTAATAAATTCATCTACAGATAAATTAACAAATTTTGTTATATTGTAAAGAAAATAAATACAAGGCCAAAGTTGGGTTTTTTTTTGCAATATCTGTAATCCACATAAAATTATTTTTTAGAATATGTAAAATCTCCCAAGAGTTATTGAGAAAAAGACAAATAAATAAAATTTCAAAGAAAGAAAAATGGGCAAAAGGTAGAAATAGATATTTCTCAGAAGAGAAAATACAAATGGTGAGTAAATACTTGGAAAAAATACTTAGCTTTATTATTTTTTAACCAGTCAGATGCAAATTAAGAGAACTATAAAGTACCATGTTTCATACTAGAAGTCCACCAACCATTCTGAGGATATAGCTCAAGGACATTGGTACAACTGACTTGGAAAACAATCTGCCAATGTCATCTAAAGCGAAATATTTGTATGTGTTAAGACCCAGAAATTCTACTTCTGGATTTATTCCCTAGAGAAACTCTTAAACACTTACATGAGGAGATGTATCAAGGATTAGAGCAACACTTTATCATAGAGGAAGAAAAAGAACCACTTGATACATTACATATCAAGGAAATTGTCAAAGACACTCTTCTGCAAAGAATCATTGCATGTCCTTTCTTCCTGACAGCACTTGATTTAGAGTGAAGCCTCGCTTCCTTGGACCCTCCTCAAAATCACCCAGTCAAAGCTCAAATCCTGTAATGGGTTCTTTCTAAGAACGCTCTTACTGAGACACTCCATGGTTCCCCATGGTGTGCACTCTCCCATGCTGCAAGGAGTAATAAACCCAACTTCTTCAACAACAAGTGTGTTCCTGGTGGTTTTTGGCTGGAGAGCATTGACAGGCTGACCACAAAGCACAGTAACTGATCTCCCCTTCTTCCTGGACATGTGAGCAGATGGTTAAATATCTACGTCAGCAGCCTTTGAAATCTCCGGCTGGGCAATATTTGGTCTGGGTGTGACCCACAGTCATTGGTGTTGAGAAAGTCAAGAAAATGCAGGGTTGAGAGTAGATGTGATGATGGGTCCCAGGGACCCAGCAATCACCCGTGATGTTAATGGGACCAGGAATGAGGGAATAGAAGCTGTGCCAGTGAAGTGGCCTCAGGGCAAGTTTCCTACCAGCTAAGAGGAGGTCATTACTGTCTCCTCTCTTGACTCAGTTCCCACCTCTCCCCCCCGCCCCCCGCCCCACTACTGGCATCTTGGGACAAAGATGAGAATTTAGAGATTGGGACTGAGCAGACTCAAGCAAAGAGGGGAAATAAAATAAAAAAAAAAATAACAATAAGACAAAAGGGTGAGGTCACAAGGCCAAACAGAGTGCCTGGGGGTGGCTGGGACTGGCTGTGGCTGGGTTGGTCAGGGAAAGGTGTATGCTATTTCTAAACATTGAAGGGACAACCAACGCATATCCAGTGTTTTCACAGCACTCCCATAGCCACTGTTCATAAACCTCATGCGGACAAAAGTGCACGAGGAAAGGGGGCTCAGAGAGGTTATGTGACTTACTCAAGGTCTCTCTGCCAACGAGAGGTGGAAGCAGGATCTCACCCTAAGTGCAACTGACTTCAATCCCACATGACTTTGTCCCTTTTACTCCACCCGCTTGGCCAGTAAGAGCCTCTAGCTGCATCTTCGGAGAACACAGAACAGGAAGCCAGAGAAGACAGGAGCCAGAGGTGAAAAGAAATTTCCTCTGGAGGGTGGTTCAGAAGGGTACCAGATCCTTTTCCTCTCCTCCCTCTTACAAGCAACTAAGGAGGAGTTAAAAAACATGAAACCCTGGAACTAGGAGAGAAGGAAGGTGCTATTTAAACTCGTCACTGGGTATAACTGGGCCTGCACATCACCAGGGCCCCGGAGCAGAGCTTCCCTGAAATAACAACTGGAGACGGCTCCTATGGGGTCACATCGTCCCTGTGACTCATGCTGTCGGCTCTTCCTTAGTTTGTGGAAATGAGACAATCAGGATGCTGCTGGGCCTGGTTGCTGGAAATGAGCACCGCGGTCTCTGGGAGCCACCCAGACAGGCCTCACGGCTGGGAAGTCCCCTGGGCCATCACCGCAGGGATCCCTGAGTGTCCTGGATGCTTGGACTGAGCGAGGAGAAGGAATCCTCATGTCCCACCAACAGCCTTCAGCTCTTAGCACCCGGCTCACCAGAGCCTGGGAGTGGGGACAAGCTGTGCGGAAGTTGATCTCCAGGCGTGGGGCAGGTGACTGTGGGGCAGGGGCTGTTCCTCAGGGTGCCGGAGCCGCTGGGGCTCTGTCCCTGAGGGACTCACTGGCACCTCTCCTGCTGTCTAACCCGTCCATTCTCTCTCAGCTGAGGTCAGGGCTACTTGGTAGATGAGAATTCCTTCGAGATTTGCCTTCTTTTTTCCTGAGGGAAACTTACACCGTCTTTCTGGATTGCAGAGATTTGAGTAAAGTTGGCGTTATAACATTAGCAGAGAATTTGGCTGGATGTAGAAGCAGAAGAAACTGAAGGAGGACTGCTGACAGCAACATGCTTGGGGAGCTGGCGGTCAGGGGTCAGACACTCTTGGAGACTGTACCTGGCAAATCCCAGGTTGGCCACATATGCAGTAAATCCACCCTCCCACCACATCCTCTCCTCTCTCCCCCTTGGCTGACTTAGTGTCCGTATCAATATTCCCTTTATTGCTCTGGCCCCACAGATCCCTGGCCCCATGAACTCTACTTCACTCCGCCTGTCATACATACACCCATGCTGAAGTCGTGGGCGTTGCCACCACCCTTAGCGCCTCCACATCTGAAATCCCAAACTCTGTTCCCTGACCCCCATTCCTATCCTTCCAACTCTGTCACCCTATGCTTTTCACTCTGTCTATTCTTTACCTGATGAAACCCCCTAGTTTCTAGAGACTCTGGTGTTCTCTTGCTCTGATTCTGTCTTAGTCTTGGTGTGGGTTTGAGGGAAAGAGGAGGAGGAGTGGAGGAGGCTTCCACTTGACAGGCTGTCAGGGCTGTGGTTGGCCTTGCAGCCCATCTGGGAGGGGGGAGGAAGGGAGGGCGTCAGCTGGGGTCGGGGCCCTGCAGAGAAGTGGGCCTGGAACAATTGGGAACAAAGGCTGGATACTCTTCCGCTGAGCCCCACAGCCTGGCCTTGGCCTTCCGGGAACAGCTTCAGGAAATGGCTGAGATTCCAGATTTGGAAGGAAGAGACCTGTAAACTGGAGCTGGGCTCTGAGAGGGGAGAGCAGCCTCTCTGTCAGCTGGGGGTGGGTAGTGGGGGCAGCAGGATGACAGCTGACATTGCAGGCTCAGAAGCTGCAAGTCCTGTCTGGTACAGACACAGACACAGGGTCTCAGGACTGGAAAGACTCTTCAAAGATCATTCACTCCAACCACATTTCCAGGGCCTGGAAAATATCCCTGCTGAGGATGCTTGAATAGTTTCAGTGATGGGATATGCATAAGAATAAGTAAAAAATACTGGCTAACCTTTACCGATCACTTATAATGCGTGGGGCACTGCATGTGCTAAGTGGTTTCATCAGTACTCTAGCTCTCAAGGTAGGAGCTACTATGATTATTCCCATTTTACATATAAGGAAATTGACTTACAGGGTTAAGTAAGGCCTCCACGAAGCCATTTCATCCATCTCTGAGCTGAATGTAGACATGCTCTACGGGAATCTGCCAGCTTGGTCCAGAGGCTCTGAGTCCCTCCTATCTTCTCCTCTACCTCACCCCTGCCCTATGTGTCCCTGGGGATGGGGATCGTGGGATGACAGCCCACCCCTGTCCCCCCCACCCCTGTGCCCTCTGTCCTCAGCTTCTCCATGCTGTGCCCTGAGACTCTGCCTCTGGGTGGTCACCTGGAAACAAAGGGATAAGGGTTGGGACTCAAGGATAAGATTTTTTTTTTTTTTTAAACAGAGTCTCACTCTGTTGCCTGGGCTAGAGTGCCATGGCGTCGGCCTAGCTCACAGCAACCTCAAACTCCTAGACTCAAGCGATCCTCCTGCCTCAGCCTCCCAAGTAGCTGGAACTACAGGCATGTGCCACCACACCCAGCTTATTTTTTCTATATATTTTTAGTTGTCCAGCTAATTTCTTTCTATTTTAAGTAGAGACGGGGTCTTGCTCTTGCTCAGGATGGTCTTGAACTCCTGAGCTGAAACGATCCTTCTGCCTCAGCCTCCCAGAGTGCTAGGATTACAGGCGTGAGCCACTGCATCTATCATACAAAGATAAGATTTCAATAGAGTGTTAGGGCTGAAGCATTAAGGCTATGGTTGGAGTTATGGTTAATGTGAGGACTCCCATTAAGAAGTCTCAGATTAGATCATGAGGTGATCTGGGGCTGAAGTTAGAGCTGGGGAGATGGCTTAAGAGTTGAGGTCAGAGAGTTTCTCGCCTCTGGTCTCCTCCCAGTTCTCCAGGGCACTAAGGGCCAGGCAGGAAGCATCGGTTTCCTCAAAGCCGCTTCCCTCCTGGGGCAGTCTCCGTCACAAACAACCACCACCACCCCACCCCTCCCCTCCTTCCCTCTCAGCTGTGAGCTCAGAGCAGTAGGACAAAGTGCCTGGGACAAGGACAGAGGCCTGAGAGCCGCCATGGGCTCTGGAGGAGTGAGCCTCCCAGGGGCCGGGCGGCCCCTGCCCCTCCTGCTCCTGCTCCTCACGGGTGAGTGCGGCCCCCCTCCCGGCCCACGCTCCTTCGATCCAAGGCCCGGTCAGGGCAGGAGATGGCCACTGGCTCCTTTGCTTCCCTTTCGCAGTGGGGGTACCAGAGATGATGATGATGATGATGATGAGTATGTGTGTGCGTGCGCATTACACAGCCGTGGCCTGGATGCCATGCACGTTGGCCCTCTCCCCTGCCACTCCCTGCTAGCTTGTTATCTGACCGTCACGGGCACGGCCACCAGGAAAACTTGCACACAACAGAAGACAGCTGATGCGAGGGCAGGGATTTGGGCCGCCGAGGTGGTCAGACCTGGCTCTGCTCCCTTTACCTCCCAGGAGGCATGGCCCAGGACTCCCCGCCCCAGATCCTAGTCCACCCCCAGGACCAGCTGCTCCAGGGCCCTGGCCCCGCCAGGATGAGCTGCCGAGCCTCCGGCCAGCCGCCTCCCACCATCCGCTGGCTGCTGAATGGGCAGCCCTTGAGCATGGTGCCCCCAGACCTACACCACCTCCTACCTGATGGAACCCTCCTGCTGCTGCGGCCTCCTGCCCAGGGACGGGCCCACGATGACCAGGCCCAATCCGCAGACCTGGGCATCTACACCTGTGAGGCCAGCAACCACCTGGGCACAGCAGTCAGCCGAGGTGCTCGGCTGTTTGTGGCTGGTGAGCCTGGGAAGAGGCCCAGGGCGGGGCCAACCTGGGCTGAGATGCCAGGGCTGAGGGAAGTTCAGGGGATGTCTGTGAGCAGGCAGAGGCCTGGGCTGGGAGACTCGGGAAGGAGAGCGGGGTTGGGCCGGCCCTGGATGGGAGGCCTCGGAGGTGGGCAAAGCAGAATGTGGCAAGTGTGGTAGGGGAGGGGAGGGAATGGAAAGGGAGGACAGGCCCTGCTCCCTGTCAACCCTCCATCCTCCCAACAGTCCTCCGGGAGGATTTCCAGATCCAACCTCGGGACACAGAGGCTGTGGAGGGCGAGCAGGTGATTCTGGAATGTGGGCCGCCCTGGGGCCACCCGGAGCCCACAGTGTCATGGTGGAAAGATGGGAAACCCCTGGCCCTCCAGCCGGGGCGGCACACGGTGAGTGTACCCCTCCCCACACGACTGGGCGCACCCTGCGGGACTGGCCTGCTCTCTAGCCCCGTGGCCCCTGGCAGAATTTGAGCAAGGGAGGGCAGTGAGGCCTCAGGCTTCCCTCCAGCCTCTGAGACTCTCCACACGTGGGGGACTTCACAGTGCACCTGCCCCGACAGGTGTCCAGGGGTTCCCTGCTGATGGCAAAAGCAGAGAAGAGTGACGCAGGGACCTATATGTGTGTGGCCGCCAACAACGCAGGGCAGCGGGAGAGCCGAGCAGCCAGGGTGTCTGTCCAGGGTAAGGCAGGGGGTCAGCTGAAGTCCGGGTCGGCTGGGGGACTCCAGCCAGGGTGGTGTGTTCTGGTTTGGGCTGGGCTTAGGGTATGTGGGGCTCAGCCTGGGGACAAGGGTCAGAGTGGTGGGGGCCTCATGTAGGGGAGGTGCCCCCATGCTGGAGTGGAAATGGGAGTGCCAGACCTGGGGACTCCGGGAGTTTGGCTTCCTCAGTCCTTCGCTCCGGCCTGTAGGCCCCATCCCAGCCCCATGCTCCCCGCAGAGCCCCAGGATTTCAAGGAGCCTTTGGAGCTTCTGGCTGTGCGCATTCGGCTGGAAAACGTGACACTGCTGCAGCCGGACCCCGCAAAGGGCCCCAAGCCTGGGCCTGCCGTGTGGCTCAGCTGGAAGGTGAGGCCAGATCCTAAGGGTGAGAGCCAGCCAGAGCTCAGGAAAGGCTGGCCGCGAGCTCCCTGGCTCCTCACCCTCGCGCCCGCCTCCTCCCCAGGTGAGTGGCCCTGCTGCACCCGCTCAGTCCTACACGGCCTTGTTCAGGGCCCAGACTGCCCCAGGAGGCCAGGGAGCTCCGTGGGCAGAGGCGTTGCTCGACGGCTGGCAGAGCGCAGAGCTTGGGGGCCTCCACTGGGGCCAAGACTATGAGTTCAAAGTGAGACCATCCTCCGGCCGGGCTCGGGGCCCCGACAGCAACGTGCTGCTCCTGAGGCTGCCGGAACAAGGTCAGGGACTGATCCCCCCAGAACCCAACAATATCCCCTCTGGCTCCTTCTTGTTTGGGGGCCCCTGGACTGTCCCACTCCAGTGTGGGGTATGGTGGGTTCTACTGCTGGATTCACTTCTGCCCCGGCCAGGCAAGGAGAACTGCGAGAAGCTTATATTCTCCTCCGTGGGGCTCTGGCTGTGTCCCCCATTCCAGATCTCTTCCCTAGACTCTTCTTCCTCAGCACCCCTTACCGCCTCTCTTCCTCCCCTCCAGTGCCCAGTGCCCCACCCCAGGAGGTGACCCTAAAACCTGGCAATGGCAGTGTCCTTGTGAGCTGGGTTCCACCACCTGCTGAAAACCACAACGGCGTCATCCGTGGCTACCAGGTACCCCCCACGAGCTGCCACAGCCCTTCCTGGTGGTACCAGGGCATCTCTTCTCCCCAGAGTCCTGCAGACCCTTGCTCTGGGCACTGAGAAACAGCACCTGTGTGGAGAAGCAAAGGAAACTTACCTTTGTTGAGCAAGGACCTACTGTCTGCCAGACCCTGCCAAGCACTTTGCCTCCACGATCTCACTTCACCTCCCAGTGTCCTGTAGGATATTATCCCCAATTTACAGATGTGGAAAGTGAGGCTAAGGTAACAGGTGAAAGAAACAGAACAGGAATCACGCCGGGTTGTATCTGACTCTAGACGTCTAAGACTGTGGTGCTGTAAATGTGGCTCCTGGACCAGCAACATCAGCCTCACCTGGGAACTTGTTAGGACTGCATGGCCCCAGGGCCTTTCCCAGGCCTGCTCCATTAGAAACTCCCGCAAGCTGTAATTTAGCAAGGCTTCCAGGTGATTCTGAAACACGCTGAATTTGAGAACCACTGGTTTTAGGCATATTTTTGCAAGTTGCTTTTGTCCTTCTTCCGTTGGTCTTGAGACAAGTCTCTCTCACTTTGTAGAGGAGAGGGGACTAGGAAGTGTGGGTGCATGTTGGGGGGCTTCCCGGGTGGATGGCAGGGCAGGCTGACCACGTGCCTGGAGTCTGACCCGCAGATGATGGGTGCAGCTGCTGGGACGGTGCCCGGGAGGCTGCTCACCTTTGCCTGTGCCTCAGGTCTGGAGCCTGGGCAACACCTCACTGCCCCCAGCCAACTGGACTGTAGTGGGAGAGCAGACCCAGCTGGAGATCGCCACCCGAATGCCAGGCTCCTACTGCGTGCAAGTGGCTGCAGTCACTGGCGCTGGGGCTGGGGAGCCCAGTAGCCCTGTGTGCCTCCTTTTAGGTGAGGGCAGTGCCCACAGGCCCCAGCCATACCCTGCACCCCCATTTCTACCTTTCGCTCCTCCTGCTCCTGCCTCCCACTTCCAGCTCCTCCCGCTTGTCTGCTGGACCCTCGCCGCCTTGCCTGCCCCTCTGCCTGAGCTCTGCATCCCATACAGAGCAGGCCATGGAGCGAGCCGCCCGAGAACCCCGTGAGCATGGTCCCTGGATCCTGGAGCAGCTGAGAGCCACCTTGAGGCGGCCAGAGGTCATTGCCAGCGGGGGTGTTGTTCTCTGGCTGCTGCTGCTGGGCACCGCTGTGTGTATCCACCGCCGGCGCAGAGCTGGGGTGCACCTGGGCCCAGGTGAGAGTTGAGGGTGACCCCGAGGTGGTCAGCCTTCTCCTGGGTTCAGCCGTAACACTGCAGGAGCTTTAGATCTCTGGCCAGGTGATGGAGCCTCTGGATTTAGCCTTCCTCCTGCCTTCCTCCAGGTCTGTACAGGTATACCAGCGAGGATGCCATCCTAAAACACAGGTGAGAGATCAAAGTGGCTTGAGATGGGGGGATGGGGAGGCTGAGGGACCGTGGGGCTGGGACAGAGAACCGAATGGGCTACTAATCTATCTGCTAGGCAGTTTGAGACCCTAGTACCTGAATCTCTCCTGAACTCCAAGTGAAAGTTCATTTCTTTTTCGTTAATGTTTCTATCACACCACTTGACAGGTGAGTAAACTGAGACTCATAAAACGAGTGACTTTGCTCAAGCCTGCACAACTAGTAGCTGGCCTCCTGAATGCCTAACCCACTGCTCTTGTCACCCGCCTCTTATTAACACACACCACATGCTCCTGCTTTCTTACTCTGCTAGGGGAGGATAACCGGCATGGCCAGCTCTAATGTCTGACGTTCTCTGCACGGCCAGTGTGTACTGAGCAGTGCCTCTGCCTTCAGTAAATCTGCTGAGCTCTTTCCTGCACCGTACTCCACCCCCATCTCCAGCAGAGGGCGCTCCACCCCTACATCATAGATTTTTTTTTCTCTTTGTTCTCGAAACCAGAGCCAGACTGTGGGCACTTCTGCTCCAAGTGGGTTTGGCTGCCAGAGCAAGTCTGTGGTTGTGAGACAAGACACTAATAACACATCCTTTTTGCTCCTATTGGCTGAGTTTTACACGAAGTAACCATTTTATCTCTCTGCCTGCTTCCTTGGCTCTTTATCGTGTTAGATTTCCTCCGGGAGGCTTCGCACTCCAGGTCTGTATCTATCAACACCAGTTATCAAGCACCTACTGTGTGCCAGATACATCCAGGCCTGGGGCTGCCATTTTGCCGTCAGATTCTCACCCCAGAACAAGATTCCAAGCTGGCTGGTGGTGTGTTCCTGAGTTTTTCTGTGCTCACTGGCTTCTCTCTCCTTGTACTTCCCGGGCTTTGTCTGCTCTGCCCTGAACTTTCTCTGTCTCCCCTGGGACCTGCTCTCTTGTACTTGAGGGAGATGCTGTTCTGATCATTTATTTGGTTTATTCATTCCTTTGGCATAGTCTCCATGTGCCAGGAATGCTCAGCCTAGGCAGAGACAGGCATGAGAGCATTTGAGAACAATAGTGTGGGCAGTGCAGAAGCACGTACAGGATACATGGAGTGGGGCAGGGGAGGGAAACACAGGAGAAAAAAGATTCTGCATTTACCCTGAAGTGAGAAGGGGAAGGGCAGAGGGAACAGCAAGTAATAGCCTGCTGCCTCCACAGGGAAAGACAAGCCGTTTGGTCTCGCTGGAACACAGAACGTGAGGTGGATCCCAGCAAAGGATAAAGTTAGGGAACTGGAGGCCAGACCGAGGAGGGCTCACTCACCCTATTAGCCATGCTGGGCACCTGGGCTCTATCTTGGCAAATGGGGAGCCGCTGAAGGTTCTAAGCAGAGAAGTGCCTGTTATTAAAGGATCGCTCTGGCAGCTGGAGGCCAACATCCATGCAGCGAGCTCCTGCTCTGCCAACCGAGTGATCTCACATTTCCTCATCTAAACTCACAGCATCAGCCTTGAGGGTAGAAGGTCTTACTGTTGCCATTTTACAGATGAGGAAACTAGGGCTCAGAGAGGCTAATGCATTTATATACTTATGTAGGGTTGCACAGCTAACCCTGGCTGATAGGGATTTTCAAACCAGATTTGTCTGGCTCCAGATTTTCTGTCCTTTTCATCTCAGCATACATAGTTGTCTCTTGTTAATACCTCCTAGCTCTGGGCAACTCGGATTTCTCTTGATCCCAGGATAGAAAGGGGCGCT